TTTCCCTCTTCATTTAAAAACATTAAATTACCAAATACATTACTTTACTTTATTTATATTTAGTTGATAATTTTATTGAATAGTTAAATTAACCAAAGTTTTAATTTATATATTATATTAATATTGTCATCTCAAGTGACCTTCATGTTTTAATTTTTGTAATTTTCTTAAAATACGTAATATCAAGTGAGTTTCATATTTTTTAAATTTCCTATACGAAATGAAAAAATAATTTTACTTAAGTTTAGAATGAAAAAATTTATTTTGAAAAACTATGTATTGTATATTTTTATAATGATTCAAGTGGATTAGATGAAATTCGTGTTGAGTCGGTCGGGTTATGGGTTAGTCAGGTTCGGGTCAATCGGGTTGCGGGTTAATCAGGTTGCAGGTCAGTCGGGTTGCGGGTCAATTGGGTTCGGGTTAATTGGGTTGCGGGTCAGTCGAGTTGCGGGTTAGTTGGGTTGCGGGTCGGGCGAGTTTTTTTTTTATAAGGGTGATGATTGAATTAATGAACAAAATGCAAAGTACAGGGATAAGAAATAGGATCACGAGCACTGATCCTAGACCAAATTACAACAAAACAAATCAAAAACAAATCAAAAGGGAACAGCCAACAACATGCATTAGGTGGACCAGACCACCTCTATGCATAAAACTAATTAAAAAAAAAACTCGAAAGGGAACAGCCAACAACATGCATTAGGTGGACCAGACCACCTCTATGCATCAAAGAGAAACAGGAAAAAAGAAACCAAGGAGGACAGTAGACAGCAAGAAGAAGCCATCCAACAGCAATGGAGAAAACACCAAACACCCACCCGACAGCCGAGAACGTACGCCATCATGGGAGAATGCAAACTGGTAAATCAAAGGAGACCGAAACCAGACGCTGAGCGATCCGCACCCCCGCACAAAAGAAGCCCGGCCAAGCCCATAAGGTTGCTCGGGCGCAACAAGATCCAGGGGACGCAGCAGCAAAATCAGCTAAATAATCTGAGTCCTGAGATGCTCAGAAATCCACTCCACCCCCTGCGCTTTACTAATTTTCCCATGGGCAACAACCCATTCGACCGTCCACCTCATTGCTCTTCGGGACACAAAGTTGGAACTATGATTGATGTCGTTGAATGTTCGTTGGTTTCGCTCGAGCCAGATCTGCCAGCAAACACCATGGAAACTGCAAGCAACAATCCACTCATTGATGTTGTTCGGACAGGCCATATTCCAGCCGTCCATAGTGGCAGCAACATCGCCACTCGGAGGGCTAAATCCATGGCACTCCAAAGCGACATCCGTCCAAACACTTCTAGTGAAGGCGCAATGAATGAACAAATGGTCAACCGACTCCTCTTGATTGCTGCAAAGAACACACCTGTTAGCCAACACCAGCCCTCTTTTCTGCAGATTGTCCAATGTCAGCACCCTCTTGTGGGCAACGAGCCAAACGAAGGCACAGATCTTGCTTGGAATGAAGCTTCGCCAAATGAACTCGGCTGGGAAAGAGGCCACCCCCGGGAATCTGCTGCTGGCCAGGAACCTATACATATCACAGACAGAAAACGTCGACTCGGGTTGCGGGGACCAAACAAGTCTGCTCGGTCCACACGAAACCCGGCGACAGTCAACAGAACAAAGGACTCTCAAAAGATTCAATCGCTCCCTCTCCGCCCCACCCCTTAAGGTCACATTAAGATTTAAATTCCAAATAATACCCTCACCTGAAGGAGTCGCAATGTCGGAGATCCAGGCGTTGGGAGTGGCGGTAGCGGCAGCGACTCTGGGGAAAGCGTCTGCAAAAACTAAGCTAGGAATCCAACAGTCCTTCCAAAACGACACCCACGCACCTCCTCCCGAATCGACGTGAGCCGCTTTCCAGAAACTTTTATAACCCTTCGTAATATTCGCCCACACTGATCCCCCAAACTCAGCCCGACAACGCTGGCTCTGCCAACTCGAAGCTCCCGAAGGATATTTAACTGCAATCAGTTCTCTCCACCAACTACCTCTTTCAACAGCAAATTTCCACAACCATTTCGAAAGCAGGGCCTCATTAAAACAACCGACGTCTCTAATCCCCAGACCTCCATTGGACTTAGAAGCTTTACACAAATCCCAACTAACCAAAGGACTTTTAGCCTTGTCACCTGTACCGCTCCACACAAACCTCTGGATACTCTCTATCCTTTTCACCACCGTTGCGGGAGCACGTAGAAGGGAGAACGAATAAACCGGTTGCCCGGACAGAACAGCCTTATTAAGAACCAATCTCCCACCAAGAGATAGGTAACGACCTTTCCACCCCTCGAGCCGCTTCTGAAATTTGCTAATAACCGGGTCCCAAGTCGAAACTGCATTGACTTTAGCACCAAGAGGGAACCCGAGATAACTTGACGGTTCTTTGCTCCACTTGCAACCGAAAACAGCGGCGAAGAAATCCGGGTTCGGAACATCACCGATAGTGATCATAACTGATTTTTCGAGGTTGATTTTGAGACCAGTAACGGCTTGAAAACAGACCAGGGTCGCAAGGATGTTCAAAACCTGATCATAAGAAGCTTCACAGAAAATTAAAGTGTCGTCAGCAAAAAGAAGATGGGTCACTTCACCCACCCTATTAGTCTCATCCATACAGAATCCGTGGATGAGACCAGCCAAGCGCATCTTTTCCAACATAAAGGAGAGCACATCCATGATGAGTGTAAAGAGACCGGGAGAGAGCGGATCGCCTTGCCTGAGCCCCTTCTGCGAGTTGAAGAACCCTTTTGCTTCTCCGTTGATCAGAATCGAGATAGCTGGAGAGCACATGACTCCGCGAATCCACGACTGCCATTTATGAGAAAAACCCAACACGGACAAGGCCTTGAAGAGGCAGCCCCAACTTACGTTATCAAACGCCTTCTCGATGTCGAGCTTAAACAATAGTCCCGGTTTTCTGCTTCTCTTACGGCTATCAAGAAGTTCAAAAGCAATCAGCCCGGCTTCGGAGATTTGCCTACCCTTAACTGAAGCATGCTGGTTGACAGAAACAAGCTTAGGAAGAACCGTGCTGAGCCTTCTAGCCAAAATCTTGCTAATTAATTTATTCATGCTCCCCATCAAACTAATCGGCCGAAGATCTTTGATGTCCTCCACGACATCCCTTTTCGGAAGAAGGCAGATGAAAGAATGAGTCACACACCTCGGAAGGGATCCTGATCGATGGAACTCGCCGAGTACATTAATAACTTCCTCCCGAATAAGCGGCCAGCACTTCCTGTAGAACTCCCAAGAAAAGCCGTCCGGACCCGGAGCTTTGCAACCATCACAGTCAGATAGAGCAGCCAGGATTTCTTGCTCGGTGAAAGCCTGAATGAGAGCATCATTATCATCACTGTTGAGCTTGTTCACATCATAATTCCCAGGGAAAGGCCTTCGGCACAAAGTCTCTTTAAACAGGTTGATATAAAAATCAACAACCCCACTGCCCAGCTCATCCCTGCCTTCAAATCAGCCCATTAATCTTAATACACTCAATCAAATTCAGCTTTCTCTTATAGTTTGCTATTCTGTGAAAAAACCCGGTGTTGCTATCTCCGCCCTTCAACCATACCTCTCTTGACTTCTGTCTCCAGGAGATTTCTTGAAACTGAAGTAGCCTGCTGAGGTTGACTTTGAACTCATCCCTGTCGCCTTGCTCTGAATCAGTGAGAACCCGGGAATCCTCGATCAAATCAATCTTGCTGATGTTCGCCAGGGCGGTGTCGATCTGCCTGTCTATGTTACCAAAAACGTTCTTGTTCCACTCCTTGATTTTCTACTTCAGATCTTGCAATCTCATCGCCCAACGAAAAGCACACCCACGACCACTCATCGGAACACGAAGCCAACCTTCAACAGCCACATAAAATCTCTCGTCCTCGAGCCACATATTCTCGAATTTCCATGGCCTCCTAATCCTCCTAGAATCACCCCACTTAATCAGCAACGGATTATGATCCGACTCCACTCGCTCCAAAGCAGTCAAACTACAATCAGGAAAAAGACTGTCAAAAGCAGGATTAACGAAAGCTCTATCAATGCGGGATAACGAATTAGAACCATCCCCTCTGCTCCAGGTGAAACTACTCCCACCCAGGGGAAGCTCGAGCAAGGCGCCACTGTCGATACACTCATTGAATTCAGCCATCAAATTCATATTTCGTCTCGTTCCCCTGTAATCTTCATGACTTCGAACAAGATTGAAATCGCCAGCAATGCATATCGGGCGATCAGCAGCCTGACAAACATCATGAATTTCTCTGATAAACCGCAGCTTCTCTTCCCTATCCTGAGGACCGTAGACAACAACCAGGGACCACAACTTCAAAGAAGAAACCTCCTGAAAGTCAATACTAAGGGAGAAATCCCCCATCCTAGCAGAGACAGCACGAACAAAAGATTGATCCCAGAAAACAGCAATCCCACCCGAATTCCCCACCGCATTCTTTGCCTCCCATCCACTCTCTCTGCTGCCACTGATACTCGAAACTAAATCACCCGAACACAACTCCCATTTTGTCTCGACACGGCCAACAATTTTAGGTTTCCTTCTTCCCAAAATACGTTTAATCCTGGCCCTCTTATCCAGATCACCAAGCCCCCTCACATTCCACACAATAATAGAAGAACCCATTACTTACTAGTAAAGTTGTCAATCCCTACCTTCTTCTTAATCCTGCGAGGCCCAGTCAAAGATGGAACAACTGGACCTAGCCGATGCTGCTCCATTTCTAATCTGGACCTTGATGATCTAACCTTTCTATAATGCATAGCCCGAGCCTTTTCCACAATGACCTCCTCAGTCTGATCGACCCCATCATCCTGAACAAGGTTGAAGAGCCTTCCCATAGCGCGACTAGCATCGATTAGACTGTCCACATCGAAAGGAAATTTGTCCATCTCCCACTCCTTTTCTTGACTATCGGGAATACACGACGGGGAGGGCAACTCTTCCATAGCACCAGAATCCTCAGAGCTCCTTATCGGTGATTGGGGGGGGGGGGAAATGAACCGCCCGTCAAAGTCGGCGAAACTCTTTCGAGGGACTGCGGAGAGAGTTCCGGGTTGGGAAGCTCGGAGCTAGCTGGGGATGGAACAGAGCTTGAGGAGAAAGGCCCCGTGGCGTTGACGGAGATCGAGGCAGAAGACTCGCCGATCGGATCAAAAATTATGGACATGGAGTGTGGGACAGGAAAATCAGATATCCAACTCTTCTTTAGCAAGACCACCTTGAACAGCCAAACAAACGGGCTGGGGCAGGGAACAATATAGGTAATTGGGCTCTCCATCATGATATTGGACAGAAAATTATAAAACCAACGAGGACAAGTGAGGCTCAGTCCTCTGGCCGTGGCCTTGTGCACCACCATCAAATTGCTCTTCAAGCCTGACAAATCTGGCCCAGAAGGGTTCGGTGGCCTCGGCCCATACCAAATAGGCCCATGCTTGCGGACCCAAACGTGTCTCATAGCGGATTTATTAAGAGAGTTACTTTTCACCCCTGCTGGCTGCGCAACGGAAACCAAAGCGCCTCTCTCCGGGCGGCGCGCTCCATAATGGACTACCCCCATGCAACGTTCACCCTTTTGCATCGAGCCGCTAACCGATGTGGGCCGATTCATATCCCCTCTCGGACGGAAACTCGGATCGGAGGATTCACCGGTGTACAACTCTGATACCGGAGAAACCTTGACCCAATAACAGTCAGCGCCGAAGCGAATAGGGATACGCTCTGGTAGTTCTCCTACGACCCTGACTCCAAGCCTGATCACGTCGGAGGTCCAATGATTCCAATCTATCTCTACCAACGACCCACAAAACTCACCAATGCTCCTTATCAAATTGACGCTCTTCAAGTGTACCGGAATCCCAGACACCATGACCCACCGTGCTGATGAAACGTCATGCTTCAGAGAGATCTCACTCCAATGGGAAATATCCATGACGAAACTCTTATATCTACACTGGTCAAAAGCCTTGATGCGAAGAGCCTGTTGAATGCTTGGACAAGTGAGGATCCATTTCCCGCTGTTCGTACTTTCGAAACCGTAATTAGCATCAATGGCCCAAGTCTTGATTGCCCATATCACGAAACCATGAGCAGATTCAGCAGAGAACACCTCATCGGTCGTAGGATGGAACCGAATCACCAGACTCCTGCCAAGGAACTCACGCCTCTCCTCCACACCGTCTTTATTCACTTCGATAAAGCGTTCCCCACCCGACCCTCTAATCATACACCTCCCGGCACCGTAGAAACCCCCACCCTTAACCACGTCGGCATAAGATTGTTGCGCAGGGACGGCCTGGCCGGATTTATTGCACGAACTGTCCAAAACAAACCTGTCGCGGTGCAAACGCTCAAACTGGAAGAAATCCTGGAGCAAGGAGATCATAATAGCCCATCCTTTCCCGGCCCCGGAAGATGGGATGAGGATCTTGAAAACACGTCCACTCTTAACTGATTCCGAGATTTGGAGAAAAGCTCCCTTCCTGGTGATAGCCTTTCCAACATGAATCACACACTCCCCCCTCCTCTTGACGTACCCGGATCCAAACCGCCATCCATTCATCGCTGACGTTTGCAAGACGCCCTGAAGCCAAGAGAGGTGGAGTTCACTTAACAGGACTGACCAGCTTCTCCTCCCTTCCTTCGCACGGATACGATACCAAAACCTCGGTCCACATTCTTCCCTAGAAATTGATACAAGCTTGCTGCCGATCCAAACGTTCCGCGAGCACACCTCCCGACGTACGCCGCCGCCACCACTTGACCCGAACACCTGCGACCTGCACGAACGGACAGACGAAAGACCATTCGTTAGCGACCCCCCACCCTTGGCGCTCACACGCTCTGGATCTCTCACTCTCTCATGGCCATCTCCGCTCACTTTCTCTCTCATCACTTTCTCTCTGGATCTCGGGCGAGTTACGGGTTGTTGATTTTTAGTCAATTCGGGTTGCGGTCAGGTTGCGGATCGAGTTGATTGGGCGGGTTAATCGGGTCGGGCTATGTTTTGACAGTTACTATAGGAAAGAAGTAAGAAGCCGAAAGCCACACAATTTGTCCGTCATTCGTCCCATCCGTCTTCCCCTTCCATCATTCTTTCTTCCCTCTTCTGCTAAATCCAAATCCCTAAATTATTTTGCAGAGAAGAGACATCTCATTTTTGAGTTAGTTGTTTTGATACCACTTGCACCGCATCCAATCTATGATAATCAGTTATCAAGTTTCTACTTCTACTTTCTCGCTGCCGTTTCATTTCCTTTATCATGCACTGCGATCTCGGCGACAATTCCGTCATTCAATTGGCCATCACCACGAGTTTGAAGAAGATCTTTAACCGCAGAAGGTTCTGGCAGAGATCCCAACAGGCAGTGCATCACCGAAAATTGCAGTCTAGTGTCGATTGGAAAGGGAGAGTAGAGGACAGATTGAGTTCCTTAAAAGAACGCGGTCCCAAAACCATAGTCCGCGCTCCCCCAGACAATAATTCGCGTTTTTTTCACGAACTTTAGAAAAATCGTATTTTGACGGATTAGAACGGGAGCATGAGGGTGAAGTGGGCGGATGGTGTGACCTAAGTTAGAACGAGTCAAAGGGGATCTCATATTCTGGTTGGGTTTTATTTATTTCAGTTTGGCTTGGTATAATTCTATTTCCTTTCTCTCTCTTTGAGCTAAGGTTGGGACTGAAATTTGATTTTGAAGTTGGAGAAGAAAGAACGAGTAACTCTCAAAGGTGCACAAGTGATGTGATGAATTAGAGATAAGAGAATTGAGACCCAGTTTTCATTTGGAATCTCTGTCATTCAGTTATCAGCGCCTTCAAACCCCAAGTCCTATGATAATTTTGCCCAACCAAATGTAAGAATTGAATTTAAATACTACAATTGTGGAAATTGAGGCCAATGAAAACACCCAGCTTCCTAGCCAAACGATCCAATATGAACTTTGATTATAAAACCGATCAGGACACTATCATACTATACAAACTTTAAGAAGCAAGACAAGAAACTGTTGGAAAACCCCAAATAAACAACACTGAAACAAGGCTCCATCCTTCCTAATACCCATTTCAATGCCCCAGCACTACACAACTGCAACAACATCAGCACCACTAGAAGAACAATAAGCCCCAACAGCTTTAGAAGAGGTCCCCAAAACAGTCTTCGTGGCTTCCTTAACCACTTCCCCATTAACATAATGCTGCCTGCAAACTGGCATATACACATCAGCTCCAGCTATCAGCTCCGTCTCGGTTTGCTCCGTCTTCCTCAACGTGAAGAACGCTCTCTTGCCACAGAGCTCACATCTCGCTGTCAGCTTCGTCACTGTGTCAGCCAGCGGTATCACATCAAGGACAGACCCGAAGCTCCTCCTGCAGATATCAAAAGCATGACGGGAACAGGGTCACTTTTACAAGAAAATTATAGCAACGCACACCAATAAGAGAATCGACTGTTACCTCAAGTAGTCTCCATCCAGCCCTGCTACGATTATAGTTTTGCCATCTTGATCCGCTGCTTTGCAGCAGAAATCGTAGAGGTCATCAAAGAACTGAGCCTCGTCGATTCCAATCACTTCGATCTGTGAACAACGAATCAACCATATCCAATCAATCAGACACCATAAGCAATTTGTTTCAATTGAGCAGCCAGACAGAAAGGGAGAGGGGGTGGAAGGTAAAGGGTAACCTTCTGATAAGCTTCCACTCCGACTTTCCTTTCGAAGGAAGTGAGATCCGTCAATGCCCAGCAAGGGAACTTCAAACCATCGTGGGAGACGACTGAATCAATAGCGTACCTGTTATCCTTGCTCGATTTTACCATTGCGACATTTCTACAAACAGATGATTGACGAACCCAGTTAAACAAACGTGTCATTCAAATTTGTCAAACAATCCGGTTACAACCACCTCCCCTGAATAATCTACCACTTACCCACCACAGATCTCCTTCGGAAGGACCCAATTTGAAATCAACTCAACCCGAAAAATAATAAAAATTTGAAAGACCACAAACCTGCCACCGTTGCCTGCGGATTTGATACGATGGAGGAGAGCAGTCGTTTTCCCGGCGAACATGGGACCGACAATGACATGTAACTCACCGGTCTGGGATTTCTGGGCGAGATCGCGGCCGGCATCAGCAAACTTGTAGGTCGAAAACGACTTTTGGGCGGCGGCCATTGTCAGCAAAAATATCAGAAAGAAACTCTGCTGGTTTTGTGAGGGTTCTAGGGATCGGAGAACGAGAGAGATGGGCAAGCAGAGCTTGGCAGGAAGATCTGTTTTGGTTGATGGATTGAGGATCGTGGGAAGTTCATGGCGCTCATTTTATATGGGAAGAGCGGGAAGTGTACGGTGTAAGTTTTGGGTTTCGACTTCGATTTTTGAAATTTGGGAATTTCAGAATGTTGGGAATTGGTGGAGGGAAGTTCGGATTCGAATGGAACTTTTCGAACTTTGGAGGGAAATCTGAAATTCTGAAATGAAACCAGTAGAGCGGGAAATTGGGCCAAGGCCAGGAAGTTATGTTATTGGGCTCAAAAATTCTGAGGGCTAATATGAGCACGGATGACAACAAAATCCGAATTCACGGGTATCCACCCAACCCGGTCAACGCGGGTAAAATTCGTGTTGACGGGTTTTAGGCCGGGTTTGGGTTTAATTCCATTCACTATTCATTGGGTTGAGTTTGGGTTTAGGTAAACCCGGCCCATGGGTACCCGCTCACATCCATATAATTAATTTTCTCGATATATTTAATATTCTAAACAACTAATCTTATTTATATTTGTAGAGACATGTCAAATTTTTTCTTTCTAATTGTGTATAATGAAGTTGATGTTATCGAGTGGAGAGTGAAAAACTTAATTGAAAGGAAGAAGCCTTCAAGTAATCATGTTATTTATGGATAATTTGTGATTTGCTTCAATTTTCTTGAGTTTTCTAGATTGGTGTTGAACAATTTGTATAGTTAATTTGTGATTTGCTTGAATTTTCTAGAATGGTGTTTTATATATGGATAATTTGTATTGAGATATTGATATTTGACTTTAATTTTGATAGGAACTTGTTATTGTAAATTTTTTACAACAAAACCCGTGGGTACCCATGAACTCGCGGATACCCAGCGGGTTGGGTTGGGTTTGAGTTTTTCAAACCCAATGGGTTTTACCCTGGGTTTTTTCACGGATAAACCCATGGGTTCAGGTTTGGGTTTGGCAAAACCCGACCCAACCCGACCCAATGCCATCCCTAAATATCAGTTTGACTATCCTCTACTGAAATTTTACTTTTCCTGCCATAGATATTTCGAGAAGAAAACTCGAGTGTAGGGTTGTTTAGATGGATTAATTGTTAATATGGTATCTGTAGAGTTTAATAACTCGTTTGTTATGTGGTATTTTAGTGTTATTTCAGTAGTAATTGGGTTAAAGTAGACTCATATTCGATTGAATTATTGATGATAGCGTTTTGTTATTACAATAACTCGTTTGATATTCGTTTGGAAGTTGCGATTGTTAAATAGATGTATTGTTGAGAATGCATGTATAATATTATACATGTATTGTCGAATTTGATGCATTGTAGAATACAACGTTTGGTATGTGTGATTGTGTATGTCGCATCAGCTAAAAGCCGAGACAAAACAATCTCAACTCAACAATCACAACTAAAAGTTGAGATATAACAACCACTCAAAATGAGTGATAGTTCATGTCACATCATAGAAATAAACCATGTATTGTTTTTGCTAAAAAAACAAAAAAACGATGCATTGTAAACAATACATGCATAATGACAATCTCAACAAAACAATCGCAACTTCCAAAAGACCCCTAAATGGATATTTTTGTTACACTTTTGAGGAGCAAAACTGACAAAATATGATAGAAAATGGGGGCATGAGTGAGAGTGCAAACGTATTCTTGGAGAGCTCCTTGCAAACTGCAAGTGTGTCATCAACAGTGAGCCCTCACTGTATCACCAATTGAGCATCACCACAAAATGAAGTAACAGTAAAATCATGGATTAAACACCAATGTATACGTTACATAATAATAATAATAATAATAATAATAATGCTATGAAATTATAAATTGATCTTTAATATTCATAAATTTGTCTATAGCAAATACAAGAAAGTCATTGTTCTATAAAGAAAGAGCCCCCGTAATAAATCACATTAGTATTATGTTAGGCAGTCATAATTCGTTGGACAAAACTTGAGATGGATTGTGGCAATACAAGTCATTTCATTGTTGGATTGGGCAAAGCTTGACTCTTCAGCCATGTCTCTTCGCGAACGAGCTCAACAACTATCTCGTCCATGTCTAACATTCCGATGAGTCAATGATGCTCAGATAGACTAAAAGTCAGAATGGAGGTGTATAAGAAATTGCAGAACATAGGATCGACTCCATTCTTGTTAGACTTCAGTCGAAGCTTCATGAGACATAATGGACACATCAAGTAGGTTGTATTTAGTCCAGAGATGGAGAGCGGCTTGATAGTAGTTCAAAATGCTTTTGTCATCTTGATATAGACGATTAAGCTCCATCTACAATGAAAATTGCCAAGATGCACTAGTCTGTGAATGGGTGGCAACGAGATGCGCCCACATCTCGTGAGTTGTAGTAAAGCACCACTGACAGAGTGTTGTGGACTTGTGGGTACATCAAACGAGGCTACGAGCCATGAGATCGCCTGCGCATTGTAGGTAACCCAGTCATTTTGGCTTTCTCATAAGCACCAACCATTGGGCGAGGATTTTTGCTAGTGATAATTCCAAGGCATCGCTTCCCTTTAACAAAGTTCCGAAACTGAAATTCCGAAAAGGAAAAGTTCTTCCCATCAAACTTAGGACGTCACAAAATCAAACTTTCTCAGATCCAATGCACAAAACAAACCCAATAAAAAACATATGAAACAAAAATGATAAGAATGAGATACCATATTGCTAAGACTAGGGGGAAACCCCAATCTGAAGTTGCACAATAAACTCGGAGTTGAACTCTGCCCAGCCGATAGTTGGTGCCAATATTGACAAAGCCAAAACAGCAAAACGAAGACAAACCAATTCCTAGCTAATCAATGAAACCAAGATCTTTCGATATCTAGGATCTGATACCATGTTAAACAATCAAATAACAAACATAATTGTAAAGATCAATAAGGTTTTTCAAGTGGTTTGGTCGGTGGAGCTAACTCCATGAAGAGGATCTCCCACCTAGCTTTTTTAGTATTTTCTTGGGTTAAACATAAGGTTGGTAAGTTGTACAATATATATATATATATATATATATATATGGTGAATACTGATGTACGTCAGGCGTATAGTATACGTCAGGTGATCTAGCCGTTAGATGTAGTTAGA